AATTAGGGCTTGGATTAGGCAAGTTCGAAAAATTCATGTTTGTGGTTAAATTATACTTTTGTATGATCAATTAATATTAGTATAATATATTAATCACAGGTAAGTCAAATAGGTATATCTCTTCTGCTTTCATGAATTTCTTCTAAGTTTTGAACATATTTAGGATAGATTTCCTCCCTAACTATCTGTTTACTTCTGGGTTTTTCATATTAAGATTTTAGATGTTATAGGTTTGTATGTTATAAAATTAATTTATAAAAACGAACATTTATTTCAAGTAGAGTAAAATATACTTTTATGATAGTATAATAGAGTGATACGAAAAGGAGTGGAGTCAAGTGGAGGAAATGAGTAGTATATCACGTGTTATGATGTTGAGTATATTTTTTATACTAACCAAACCCTTACCTAACCCTAATCTAACCCTAACTCCTAACAATTCAGTATGACAAAAACCATACTCAACATCATAACACGTGATATACTCTACTCATTTCCTCCACTCCTTTTCGTAATATCTAGTATAATATATTTAATCAATAAACTATGGTAAAATCTTAGTAATAAAGAAACCTATAAATATAAATATATTTGTTTTTATAATAGCTTTTTCACAATTTTCTTCTTAAAAATGATCAAAATGCGTAATTACTTATGTTTTCTATAAACTGTTTTTAAAATTGATAATAATCATGTTTAATAATTAAATAAAATTAAATTCAAATACGTGTTTTACATTAAATCATTATCTTAAACATGTTTCAATTTTCATTTTATTATGTTTATTATATTAAATTTTAAAAAAAATACTATCTCTTTCTAAGTATAAAAGAAATTAATAAATCTAAAACACATTGTAAATGTTTTAAAAACATGATATTTAGGAAGGAGTTGAATTTACATCATCATTTTCTTTATCTGAAACTTTTGATCAAGAATTATGATATTTTATTTGTCCATATAAGCTTAAACTTTAGAATCAATATTTTTAGAACTATTTTTATCTGATGATAAGGTGACAACTCATATATGTTTATATTGATTAATATTATTATTTAAATTAAAAGGTATAATCTTAGAAGAATTATTTAGAAAAGGAATAATAAAAGTTAGATCTGAATTCAACTGAATCTTTTCTAATTTGAAAATATGTAATTTTAGATCAATCATTACTTTTTGCAAACCAGTAAACATATTGAGAATTTGATTGAGCTTTTATTCATGTTACATTATTTTTGTTATTGTTAGAATTGTAAATTAAAATATTAATAGCTATACGATAAGAAACTTATTTCTACCTTTTTCTTTATTATTTTTAGGTAAGAGATTAAATAGATTAGTAGATCAACAATTATTTTTAAATTAGGATTTCTGACAATTAATAAGTGAGATCTAACTAGCTTAAAAATGATTGTACAGTCTTTAAATAGATGGGAATTTAGATCTAAAAGTCTTAATATTATTAAAATTATTCTTAAAAATGCTATTCTTATTATTCAGTATAAGATTACTAAACAAAACCTAGAGGTTTTGCAAGTCATCTAAATAGAAAAAGGTAAAATTTAGCAAAATTATATTAAAATCTTATTAAAAAATTTACGAAATTCTGGAAAAGATAAAATTATATCAAAGCTTATAAAAATGTAAAATTATATCAAAATTTTAGTAAAAATTTAGTGAAACTATAATTTAGATATTTTGCTAAATCTAAAATGAGTTTAGACAAGCAACCTTAATTTAGGATAATAGGATATTTTATTATAATATAATCAATTACATTATATTTGTAATAACCTTTGAAATTAACAGAATACTATTACAATTCATTGTTATCAAAAGCATAATCTTTTTTGATACATCATTCAAAATGACAGCTAATTAAAATTAAAATAGCAAACAGTCTAGACTTATAGTTATTTGAATAAGAAATATAATAACCCTTTGTTTTGGTAACTAGCACAATGTTATGAAGATCATGTATTAAGGTATTGATGGAAAATTTAGTAAATTTAATGTAAAATCATTTTTTTGTTTAACTTATTTTAGAAAAAAGTAGCCTAGATAAACTTGTATATAATCATTATAGATATAATAAGATTACAAAGTGTAAAATAATTTAATAGTGTTAAAATTATTGTAAATAATAAATACATGCTATTATAAATTACAAGTTTGCATATTTATATTAATAATGTTATTATATTTAAAAAAAAATAGATAAGATAGTTTTTTTCTTCAAATTCAAGTAAAGATCAGTAATGCAAAAAATTCTTTATTAAATTTGCATCTGCTTTTTATGTATTGCATAATCTATAAACTAATTAATTCCTAATCTGAAAAATTTATGAAAAGTGTAGCTTATATAAATTCTGTATTATCAAAATAAATGATTGTAGATCAGATTAAATTGACTTAGTGTATATTTAGCTTTTTGAATGCATTATCCTTTATGAATGCATTATTAATATTTTAAATAATCTTAGAAGTTAAAAAGTCCTTGATATTTTTGCAATAATTGTAATACAAGCATATGGGATAAATTGTGAAATAATAATATAAATTTGATTATCAGTTTTATAAATTTTTGTTATTAATTGAAACATATTTATCAATATCAAGAATATTAGAAAGTAAAGTATTCTTTATGCTATACATAGTAGTGGTAATATTCTTATCAAAAGCTAAAAGAGTTTAGGTTGCTTAGTAGAGATAAAGGTAAATCAATAGTTTTCAATTATTTTGCTAAAGGTTAAAGTGAATGTTTTGAATTTTTAGCAAGAGTGCGATTAATTTTATTTTTTCTATTTTGTAAATAAAAGTATTGTAAAATGTGAAAAACTATAAAACTAATTAGTAAAATTTGTAAAAATATAAAGAAAAAAATAGGCAAAACTATTTTATTATCTAAGAACTTCTGAAATTTTAGGAGTCAAATAGAAAAGAAAAAAGAGTTTTTTTAGATGGTATTGTAGAAAAATTAAATAAATTTAAATAAATTTCTTTTATAAGACAATTATTTTTTAACTAATAAAATCGATTCATGTGATTAAATCATGTGAAGATCTGCAAAATATATTTTTTCTAGTATTATCATAAAATTTTCATCTTATATGATTATACAGTGCAAAATCTCTGTAATAGAAACTTAGAAAAATATTAATAAAATTTAATCCTATAATTAGATTTTAATCAAATAAAAAAAAATTGATTTATATTTGTAAAAAGAATCGATTTATAAAAAAAAGTTTTTCAATTTTGAAAATTATGTAAGTATTATATAACATATATATAAATTAATCCAAAACTAGAATTTAAAAATCATATGAAACAATTTATTTTATTTATTTTATTATTTTATTATAAATTGCATCAGATATATAATGATAAGACTTACCATTTTTTTCAGTAATATCTTTTTTATAAATATTTATATATCATCATGATTTTTGTATATATCTTCAAAATGTAACTAAAGGAACTGAATCTAATGCTTTAAAAACAATTTGTTATAATTCAACTCATATGTAATTGTAATATTTTTATATATATATTTTTGCTGTACTAATATATCTCTATATAATCCAATTCATAATAATATTTAGAATAAAATATATGAATAATAAAAGAATTATTTTCATGAATTCATCATTACATATTTTTCAATTTCAGTTTTTATAATTAATTTTGGATAAATTTAACCTGACATAACTCTATCAATATTAAAGATATTAAAATTCTAATCCAAAATTCTTAAAAAGCAGGTCATAGTTTATTTATTTTATGGATTAAATTTTTAACTTTATATATAATAAAATTTTTTTTTGCATTTTAAATTTGTTACATTTTTATTATAATAAAGTTCCTATTATAGAGGTTCTGCACTGTAGTAAAATATTTGTCACCCTGCGTCATACCCCTCAACTTTTATTTTTACTATGTATTTTGGAAACAGAATTTTTTCGGTAAGTGAAATACTATTCGTCACGCCATTATTTGTCACATAGTTAATTTATTAATGCCGTAATGCCGGCCAATAAGTCACATGAGGGTGGAATTTTTGTGGCGATACTGGACTCTGATGTGAAAAATTTCGAAACTTTCTTGTTCATGATTTCTTATGAGGGAAATCGACGAATTATGTAAAAGCTAATATATTGAAAAAGGAGTTTTTCCAATGTCAGGTGATCCAATTATAGTACATCCTTTTTTTCCATAATACGATCATTTTCCATTTTTTTCAATCATTTGCAAACATGATTTCTTTATTATATATGTCCTGTGTTGATATTCCAAATTCTCCATCTGGAGATTTACATAAACGTAGAAATTTATTGTTGAATCCTTCAAAGATTCACCATTAACCGTTCATCTCGTGAATTTAACATTACAATATAATTTCGTTCTTTTCAACTTTCATATACTCGGATAATGGTGTTGATATGAAGTTAGTTTTGTAACACCATCTGAATTTAAGGACTGTTTTTGCTTTAGGATCATTCCAAAAATCTCTTTGAAAAGGAGCAACAGGTTCACGGTTAGAAAATTGAAGTTCACCCGGTCGTTTCATTGGGATGGAAGGTGAATCATCAGTGGTTCCTAATCGAATAAAAAAGATGTGAGATAATGTAAATTTCTTGTTCGAGAGGTGAGACATTTACATTTGGTGCGCGGGCGATGGCGTTGCACGATGATATGAATGTGATTAGCTAGAAATACATAACCAGCCTGAAAAATCGTCTATTCAATTCAATTGGACTCAAATCTTCACCAAGTTCTTGTTCAATGTCAATATCATTACGAAATTTCTCGTTAAGTATTTTCAACTTATTATCTTTTTTGAAAGGGGTTTCAAACTTCCATGGGCTCAGTTTATTAGCTTCGTTGTTGTTGGTTTCTAGGACATCTACTTCTTAAACGCGGGTTATTTCACCAATGTCAACCTGAATCGCATTATTATAGGAGTACCTAGAAGGTAACTAAATAACGTAATGTCGGCCATATATCTGCAAACGTGGAACTCGAGAGTTAAAACGGTTAAAAATTATATTTTCAGTAATAAAAATAATGACCTTTTTGGATTTAACGTTGTACTAGCAGGTTTTAGGAAATCTTCTAGACTATAGTAGTTCTTACATAATCAACTTTTATTCGTGGATCAAATCAGCAAAAATTTGTGATAAAAAAAAAAATTTTTTTTTTTTTTTTAAAAAAAAAAAAATAATAATTTATAAAAAAAATGGTTAAGAGAAATAAGAGAAAGACGACCAATTTCAATACACCACAGTCTAATCATACGACTGTGGAACAGTCAAGTCGTAGTGCAGTTCTCATTGAATCGTTACTTGGTCGATTTGATTCTAATGCAGACTTTTTCGCATTAGTCACTCCTGGTGTAGATCGTCATCGTATGCGAATATTTGATACGCATACTGGAAAAGTCAATAATGATTTCTTTTCGGAAGCAGAAGAAAAATTTAATTGCTTGACCTGGGGAAAACTTTATGAAAGAGATTTGAATGGAAAAGTTGTAAGTCGTATGAGGCATGTTAATTGCGGAGATGCAGTTGAATTTAAAACATTTGCGTCAACGGTTTTTTTTTTGTGTTCGGATAATTAATTCCTTTTACATTATTCATATATTAGGATACACCTTCACCGAATAAGAAAAAGAAGCCTTTACCCAAAAATAAACAAAGCATTAAGGTCGTTGCGCTAGGTTCACAAAATGGAACAATCGTAATTTATTCAACTATACATGGATCTGCCATAAAAACCTTAAGTGGGTCACATACATCACCTGTCAATGACTTTGTTTTTACTAAGGATGGTAAAAGGGGATATTCTTGTGGTGAAGATATGAACATTGTAGAATGGGATATCGATAATGAAAAAGTCATTAGGTATTTATTTGTATGACACGTTGATGCCGGATTTATTCAACGTAATAAAATTTTTTTTTCAAATTAGTAATTGGAACGTTGATTCACAAATGGCAAAGTTTAAACTTGCTCTATCACATGACGAGACTAAAATATTATCCGCGGGGCATACTATTAAAATGTGGGATCTGCAATCCAAGCAAGTTCTCAAGACATTTACTGGTCACGCAACCAGAATCACTAATATTATGTTCTCTGCGAAAGATGAAATATGTATATCTTCTGCCGAGCATGATCGATATATAAATATTTGGAAGTTTCTGGATGGAGATAATGATAATGGCAATCCGGCTGGTAAATTAACTTAAATGGTTTTTATTTATTTTGAATAACAATCTAAAATAATTTCTTCAATTTAGCCTTAATCCTGGATGAAAACATCACGGATTTTTCAATTTCTAAAGTTAACACTGTTTTAGCAGTCTCTGAGACTGGTATATTACATCTATTTAAGCATACAACAAATTCGGCAACAAATGACATAACGTCTCCGAATAAAAAAAAGAAACGGGTTTCAACTCGAACCGCTGATAGCAAAATAAAATTTCTTAATGATGATGATTCGGGTATAATACCTATCCTTTCTGCGTGTTTTGTTGATGAAGAAAGCAAAGGATCAGGTTATGTAATGGTTGCTCGAGGGAGTACTGTGAAACCTATTTTTGAAAAAGTGGTATGTTCAATTTAGATTATGAAAATGTCACTTATTTCTTTAATTATTTTAATTATTAACTAATATCGTTATGATAATTAATATTTAGCAATTCACAAATACACATGGTGATGTAATTTTGCAAGATATAACATTAACACGTCATCACCCGACAGGATTTTTAATGAACGAATCAAATTTGGCTGCCAGAAATCTTGTAAGTATGAACTGTATTCATTTTACCTTTTTTTTTAAAAAAAAAAAATTAATATTTATCATTCAAAAAAAAAAAAGCAAGAAACACAAAAATCGTATGATGATTCCAAAGCCAAAGTGTCAGGAACGTTGAACTATGAAATAATTTCCGATAATGACTCGGAAAATTCAGATAATGCAAACAAAGTAATATAAATTTGATTCTCATAAAAACTTGAGCAATTATTTATTAGTACTCATTTTAAACACAAGTATTTATTTCTTGGCAATTAACACTAGGATAATATATTAAACTTAAAAGACTTGAATATAGTTGATGTTGGGAACACTTCAAACCAGAAACCAGAAGTTGAACAACACAAATTCAAAAAACTTGCCGGACACTCCATGCAACAAATACTGGTTCAAGCTTTACATTCAAACGATAAGCAACTACTTTTAACCGTATTAAGACGAGAGGAACTTGACATAATCAATAATACTGTGAAAAAATTACCGACAAAGTATATTGTACCATTTCTAGAGAAGGCGATTGCTAGGTTTCAAGAAAAACCTAATACAGGAATGTGTATTCTGCAATGGATTAAGGCAGTTTTGTTATTTCATATGGCTTATTTAATGACGGTAAACATCTATTATGCATATATATGTGTGTGAAGCTTGATTTATGAATATTATTTGATTTTTCTTGTATAACCAATTTTTCTTTTTATAGATTCCAGATTTGACTCGCAAACTTTCAAACTTTTATCAAACATTAGATGCTCGTTCTGTGTCATTCCAGAAATTATTAAATTTTTATGGACGTCTCGATTTGGTTATGAAACAAGTATCAATGCGACAACAAGTAGTTGAAAATAATTCTAATAAACCTATATTGTCTTATGTTGAGAGTAGTGACGAAGAAGAAGATGATGATGATGACAGCGAAGATGACGATGATAATGAGGGAGAGGTAAATTCTAAACTTCAATAACTGAAATTTTAAGTAACATACTAACTTCTCTTTATCATAAAGGATTCTGAAATAGAAGAATCTGATGATGAGCCTGAGGAAGTATTTACAAACCATGGTCTACCAAATGGAGTAAATGAAGATGAAGATAAGGAAATGGCCGATGCAGTCAGAGACAATAAAGACAATGAAGATGAAGATGAGGAAATGGCCGACGTAATCAAAGACAATGAAGAAGAAGAAGATGAGGTAGTAGAAGAAGATGATGAGGTAGTAGAAGAAGAAGAAGAAGAAGATGATGATGATAATGATGACGAAAACGATGACGATGATGATGATGATGATGATGATGACGACGACGAAGAAAATGAAAATTATATAGATAATGAAGAAAATAAGGGAATAAAGGTTAACAATAAGAATCCTGAAGAAAATGAGGATGAGGATGGGGATGATGATGGGGATGATGATGAGGAAGAAAATAGTAATGGTTTTGAAGACTACGATTCAGAATCATAAGTGGGGGTTTGAGAATATATTATTATTACCAAAAAAAAAAGTATTATCCTTTATAGAACAGTAATGTTGATAATTTTATTTGATAATAAATTTAACTCTAAAAAAAAATGAAATTTGGAACAAACATTGGAAGGATCATTATTTCTGAATGAAATTGTACGTAATTCGTTATCAGTATCTTGTATATTTAACACCAGATCCTCGTGATCGCTTTTCATTTTTTATTTGACGTTTACTTCTACTTTGAACATCGGATCCCATATTAGCACCAGAAAAGAAAGTCGGCATTATGAAGACTGTCCAAGCTTTATAAGTCGCGAAAGCTGGGATCTATGTTGATTTTAATTTAATCGTTAGAGATACGAATTCCAATATAATGAATTATTATTTAAATAAGTACTCACTATAAAAAATAAATACCATGCCCATACAAAGAACATGCTTGTCATATGTATAAACCATGTTATATAAATTATATCAAATATATACCTAATATTAATGAAAACGTTAAACATTTTAATCTAAAAATTCTAATATATATATATTTATATAAAAAAAAAAAAACAACAAATATGAAAGAAACATTTACGCAGTTAAGCCTTCCGAATTCAAATCATCACCCGGCCAGACAACAGTTCCACGTGCATCATACTTTGGTGTTCCATAATTTACGAGTTGTTTCCAAAGAAATAGAGTTATACCAGTGGTTATTACATATCCTGTACCCAACCAGAACGTGAAAGTACTATAATTTAAAAGGATTCGATAAAGAATATAAACTGCCTGAAATAAATCAACGTATTTTGAGTTAGGTTAGATAAATACAACCTTTTAATGGATTAACATTAGCTTTTGAACCTACGTTCACAGATAAGAAACTAAGCTTGAGATTTTTTAAATATCGAAGATTTTCTTGAGAGATTTTCTTATCCGATTGCTTTGCCTTTAATACAATACAAAATTAATTTTATAAAAGAATAACTACGTTTAAGTAACGGAATTAAAAAAGGATTAATACCATGTATAATAAATTAAATAGAAATAAGGGAACTTGCAAGTATTATCAAACATCAAAAAAACTTTTAAAAAAGACAAAACTGTAGGATGCAGATCATCACCCATGATGGTAAGAAAAATAATTGAAGGTTTACATAAATATTTTAATGACGTTTGAAGGTTTTACATTTAGTAATAAAAAAAAAAATATTACGAAATTAATAAGGTTGCCGGGCAAAACCCCGAGGTTTCGACAGGCATCGAAATCGAAACCCATCGAAACATTTTGCCAAATTTTT